GGACTCAATTTGCACTATTTCTGGCAGTCTGCAACCCCCCATAGCTATCCCTGCATGTTTTGTTGTTGTTGTTGTTGTTACTGAACCCTGAAAGGCTAGCTTTCTGCCTGCAGGGACTTTCCTCTGAGGGACTCTTCCCCCAAAAGGCGGGAAGTCTTAGAGCCCCAACTGAGGCGAAACTGAGGAGAAAGAGCCCCCCAAAAAACCCAAAGCCGGGGAGGCCCCGCCAGCCGCCCTCGGCCTTCGCTCCACTCCGACCCACCGCCTCCGCAGCCTCCGGCCTCGAGTGGCCTCGCTTCCCCGACGCCCGGCTCTGGAGCTCCGACCAACGCGAACAAATCTCTCGCCTTCTGGCCTGGGCTGCTGAGGAGAAGCCGCTTGCCCTGGACCTCAGGCGAAGGCCGAGCCCTATGCATGATGGGGGTTGTAGTCCCCGAGCGCCTTCCCTTCCTAGAACGGACAGGACGGAGGGACTACGTTTCCCAGGAAGCATTGGGCCTCTCGACGTTCTGCGGCTCTTGTTTGTGGAGAGCGTCTGAAGGAACGGTGGCCGCCGTGGGTCAATTTAAGGCGCCTTCTTGCGGCTGGTGAAGGCAAACTAAGGATGGATAATGGAAGGAAGGAAAGAATTCCAGAATTAAGTGGTTTATGGACTATAGCAAGGCCTTTGATTATATGGATCATGAAAAGGGATGAATTGCTCTCAAATAAATATATAATAATATATATTATATATTGCTCTCAAATAAATATATAATATAATAATAAATGGGAGTGCTACTAAATGTATAGTTCTAATGAGGAATCTGTACTTAGAATAAGAAACATAATGGTTCCCAATTGGTATATTTTCTGTATTATGTATTTTAATAAAATTAAAAAGGGTCAAGCAAGGGCAGGGTCATGCCCCCCCGCCATGTCCTACATTTTCAACCTTCTGTCCAGGAAAAATAAATTCCAAAATATCCTCCATTTTGAGCAGGACTCAGGTCCAAAACACATACCACAGAAATAATCCAGTTTGAGACTGCTTTAACTGCCCTGGTTCAATGCT